TAGTATGATCAAATAAATTTTGGATTTCCAATTAGACATTTTAAAAAAATATAAGATCATCATTAATGATATTCTAAATTTTTCTCTTTTTAAAAATATATGTATGTACCAATAATTAATTCAATTTAAAACTATCTATTATATTTGGTAGTGATTGCTACACAGTGAGGGAGGGTATCAAGCAAGAATGTAAGACATTCGATTATAAAAATTTTTTACTGTGTAAAAATTCGAATTTACTATTACTATAGATCTGCGGTGACCAGTAATTTTTTTTAATTGCTTTTTTTAAAAAATGGATCACGGCATAAGATCATCATAAATAACGATATTCTTATTTTTTTCCTTTTTAAAATATATAATTCTATCCAATTAAATTCAATTAAAAATTCTACTTCAAAAGATTGTATGTAAAAGTTTTTAATAATCTAACTTTTTATTAATGATCAAATACAATAATATCTTGATATCATCTTGGCACCTCTCTAGCTCAATATATGCAAAATACCTGAAGATATTCTAAGCGTTATCATCAATATATTGAGGCCATCAAAAGATATATATAAATGTAGAAAATTACAACTGAATATATATATCTTGGGCGATACCTGAAATTTTCTAGATGTTAGAACTGTCAATGTTTATAGTTTAGATTCTTAGACGGCACCTAAAAAAGTTTCAATGTATGCAGTATCGAATTATCCCAGGACCAGCCTTTTCTACCATGATATTTTGACGTAAATGGGAATCCAGCATCAAAGTCTCATGGAATTCCTTGGATTGTTAAATTTTGGTTTCTCAAGTATCCGATCTTGAGAGAAAATTCAAAATTGAATAAAAAGTATTAAATGTAATGAGAATATATATATGTGTGTGTGTGTGTGTTAATAATTAATTTCCTGAAACTTTTATAATCATTTTGGATTGATTCTATCGATAGTTTTAATTCGTTTGGGAAGCATTATTTATTTATAAGCTGAATTCTATTTCAGTTTTTTTTTTCCTTTGTCTTTCTACTTTATTTTTTATGGATGAAACGTCTTTATCACCTTCCTTAATAATGAAAATGAAAATTGTTACATGTAAAATATTATTTCTACTAATTCATAACGTCAATTAAATAATTACTATTACTGTTTATAAGCATACTTAAATGATCCTGCAAGTTGTTTTCTTTTTATTTTTTACCAAATAAATAACTAATTAAAATTTTTTTGTAATCAAAGCTTGATAAAGATAGATTCAATAGTGGCAGTTTTAATGGTTATATTTTATATTTTAATCAGTATTGTGAAGAGACAAAACCGTGAATAACTAATTAAAATTTGTTTTAATCATTATACACGTAAACAAATAGACATTACGTACAACAAACTTATTAAAAATTGGCAATTGGATATACAAGTCATCATCGTTTGAGAAGGCGGAGGGGAACAAATAAATGATTCAATTGAAATCGAAAATATTTTGATTTTAAATAAACCTTTTATTTTATTCATTTAAAACAAAAAGTACTTTGGTAAAAAACAATAATTGTGGAGCTTTGGTACGCTAATACCACAAATGTTGATTCTAGAAAAAGTTAGTTATAAGGAGTAATACTGGTTCGCAAATAATCCAATGTTTGAAAACATTAACAATAATGGATGGTTTAGTGGTGGAATTTGTATATTATTAATGATAAATATCATCAACAGCAGCAAGAATCAAATGATTATTAGAAAATTCAGCAATTTGGGATTTCTCACAAGTTTTTATTTTTAATTAATCAGTTAATTATATATATATATATATATACATATATAAGTTTTTGAAATATTTATCATAAAATCAAAGTTAATGGAGATGATGATGATTTAGATTAGCAATTTATTTTTATTGTTTTTATAACTAATTGTATTTAATATATCATATTGATTAGATAAAATAATAACATGATTAATTATTGCAAATTTTAAAAAAATATTCACAACTCATTTCTTCGCTAACTTTGCCTCTATCACGATTAATTATTTCTCCTTAACCAACCAATCATCTTCTTCTCTGCCGTTTTTTTCTTTGCCGCCTGTGAGAACTTCACTAGTTTTAGAAAGGATCTGTTGAGCATCAAAAGATAATGTTGCTGTATCATCGTCTTCAATTAGGTCAAAAATGTGTAATATAGATCCGACAATTTTGTAAAAAGTCCAGCCAAAAATAGTGAAAAAAGCAGTAACAAATGATGCAAAAATCATCATAATGAATGCAGGAATCAAGAAAAATGATCCAACACCAACGAAAAATCCTTCAGCCAAAAAGATTCCAGTGCCAGTAACTAACGCAACGATACTTGTTGTAATAAAAAGAAAAATCAATAGGATTGTTAAAGGTATGGCATTTAATGCTATCACTCCGTAAGTAAACCAACTCAAAGGTGGAAAATTTTCCCAAAAGAAAGATGTTGATTTTTGCATATAATATATAGGATGTGTGGCAACCTCTTTGCCTTTTCGTGCTGCATAACCAATAACTCCTTTAGTTTCATTAATTGTGTCTTCAGTAGTTTCAATAATTTTAGAGCCTGTTGAAGCAATTACGCCTGTTGCTATTCCTGTTGCTCCTGAAATAGCTTCTTTTCCATGTCTAGAAGTTTCTATTATTTCTGATTCTACTTGTCTTCGTTGTTCCCTGTATTCTTCTTCTTCTTCTTCTTGTTCTTGCTGTTCCTTTTCTCTTTGTTCTAGTGGTTGTCGTTCTTGATAATTATTATCTCTAAATTGATCCATTTCTAATTTCAATTTTATTATCGTTATTTTTTTTTTTAGTGAGAAAAAAAATAAGTTATTTTTATAACTAACAATTTATCATTACATAATCATAATCACAATAGATTAAAAAAACCATATTACATTATTAATTAAAACAAATAGATTACATAATTAATTAATCAACAGATATTTAATTCAATGATTTAATCTTCAAAAAAGACCCTCAGAATATTGTAACCCCAAGCAGTTAACTTACAAAAATTAGTTGATGGCCTAAAAACAGATGATGGCTCTAATCTTGCTAAATATCCTTTGGTTTGGAATGGCAATTCTTGCTGGATGTGTGTGTAAAATTTTGCCAGTTCCACGGTATTGATGTGATAAAATCACATGACTTTACTACTTCCGCAAAATGATATAAATCACATGACGGCCTCGACAAAATGATATAACCACCATCACCACTATCACATGAATTAATATTAATCAAAAATATTTTAACTATACAGTTCACTCTCTCTATAACGTACCCTCTGTACCTATATGTAATTTTTCTGCTTTTGGTCGTTATAGAGAGAGAAATTAATTATAAAAAATTGAAACGGGGACAAAAGGGAAGTTCGTTATAGAGAAATTTTACTTAGTGGTCGCTATAGAGAGGCCGTTATAGAGAGAGTGGACTGTAATAACAAGAAGAGGAAAGAAGATGAGCAAATGAGTAAGTGTTTATCATAAGGATGGTGGTGGTTGTCACCACTCTAGTTGTTTAAAAGAATGAGGGCGGCGGTTTGCAGTCATTGCAACTTGTCGCCATTCTAGTTAGTTTTTTTAAAAAAAATAAGTAATGCTTTACACTATTTATTTCAAAATCAAAAAATTTTTTTTAATATTATAAAATTCCAACACCTGAATCTGAATAACTATTGAATTTTAATACGAGTATATAGGAGGATAAGAAGAAATAAGAAACTACATCATCACAAAATAATGATGGTCACGAGAAAATTTTGCGTCTTTTCTAACGAAAATAGTCCCTATCGACATGACAAAGTAAAAAAAGAACATTCGTTAAATGAAAATGATAAAGCGGTGGAAAACCTCACTTACGGTGCTTGGTGCACCATCAAACAGACCCTATGCCATTCATAATCAATGGAAACTCCAGAGGGTATTTGACAAGAAGTAGTGTCTATAGAATTTAAATACAAACTTTATTAATCATTCGATCATCAGAAGATGTGCCAACTTTCTTTAAGGCATATCGTTATTTATATATATATTGTATTGGATTATGATGGATTATAAATAAATACAAAGAAAACCTACTTTTCTTCAATTTGAAATGACATATAAAAAATATACCATTTATGTCACTTTTTCCTTTGAGAATTTATTAATAAACTATAAAACTTTATGACCTTGGGGCAATTTCGATTTACATCATCAATAAAATTTAAAAGTGTTTCGAAAAATTGATTCGCAAAAATTTTCACTAGCAATAGTAATTAGTATTATTCAAATAACTCTTACATATTTTAAAAAGAAATCATCATTACAACTGATAAAAATGCATTATTTAATCTAAGTTTTATTTATTATTATTTTTTAAAAAAGTTAACATACCGGTTATATATATTAATATTAATAAATCTAATATGATTCGTAAGTAAAAATATGTGGGTATGTAGTATATATATGAGAATCATCCTGTTAACAAAAAAAATAATAAATAAATTATATGACCAAATAAAAAATTACAATCTTTTTAAAAAGTTTTCATGAAGGTTAGTGATTATAAAAATATACACGCACACATATATAATTTTAAAACATTTAATTTCTATATACAAAAAAAAATTTTTTAACAAGATTTTTTACCTACCAATTTTTCAAAATACTGGTTAGTCAACACTGATTTTTGCCTTATCAGGCAAATTGTCCAAAAAGTCAAATAAAATCTCCTTTGGTAATGATCTGAATCCTTGCGTTCTTGAAACTGGTCCAAAGTTAATGTTGATAAATCGCATACATCGTTTTTTTAATGCGAATATTTCAGCCACTGAAGCACATTGATATATTCTAGAAACATTGTCAATATTGATTTTTGATTGTAGACAAGCACAGCAAAGTGATTTTAGACGTGGAATAAGATACATATTACCCAGTATCATAAGATCTGCAATAGTATCAACTGAGAATTGATCATCGATTACATCAGTGTATAAGAACGAAACAAAAGCTTGAACGGTTTTATAAGATTCTGGAATGGTTAGGGATTTATTATAGGATTCTAACATTCCTGAATTAATCATATTAGAAAAATGTGACCACCTAGCAATCAAAATGATTCTGTGAACATGAAAGGGTGGTGATTTTGGTTCCTTTGATCGTATAACGAAATCAGAAGTAGCTTCATCGTTGATCAATTGTTGAAAATCCCAACCGATGGTTGTAGGAGGGATACGAGAGATTCCGTATTCTTGAAGATCGATCGATAGGACGTTTGAAAAATACTCATCCGAATCCTCTTCTGGATTTCCAAACAAAAAAAAGTGCGAATTATTTTCTGCCATTGCAAAATAGTGCCATTTGCCTTGAACAAATCGTTCACCATCTTCAAATTTGTGCCATTGTAATGAATCCAAATCCAATGACCAAACACCTATTGAAACTTCTTGTGCATCATGCTTAACACATTGTGTTATAACTAATACCAATTGATTGCAGTATAACTGTGCAAAGTGTTGGCCATTTATTTCAGGTCCTATATCACACGTAATTTGTATTTTTGAAACTTTGTTTGTCTGAAGATCCAATATGTCCAACGATTTTTCCCTATCCATCTCTTCGTTATAACCACCATAAGCATAAACCCTGTTTCGAAAAATAAAAGATACATGAGAATGTCTTGGAACAAACTTGATTGGTGTTTCCCATCTCCAAGTACGAAGGTTCAAACAATCTATATAGGATGAAACCTCTGTTGTATCGTACTCATTTTTTGTATAACCGCCAATTATATAAAGTTTATCATTAGAAATGGTGGCAGTATGCTTGGCACGACCATTAGGACGAAATTCGTGTATTTCTGGACATTCCCATGTCATTGTTTTTAAATCTAATATATGGACATCATCACAGTATTGATCTTCAACATCGGTGCCACCAAAAATAAGCAATTTATCTTTATTCCATAACGAAGCTGAATGATTTGTTCGTTTTGATGGACGATTGCCCTTTAAGTATATTACATCCTCCCATTTCATCTCAGCAATGTTAAGTCTGTATAAATCGTTATACACCTCATCAGTATATTGATGAAAACCGCCAAACACATAAATGTATTGCGGTGAATGTTCATTTTTGCTATTTGGAGTCACGGTCACCGATGCATTTACACGACAACTTAAAGACACCCCAGCTGTTTTAGTTGGGTAAGGATTGGAAGTAATTGTAGTAAAATTTAATGGACATTTTAATTCACTTTGGGTGTAGTTTGGTGTTGTTGCAAGAGAAGAAGAGGAGATTGGTGAAGAGACATCTAAAGGTGAAGAAGAAGAGTCTGAGAACATTTTTATAAATTATTGTAATTTCTATATTTAAATCTATTGTATTTAATTTTTAAATTTTTAAATTTTTTTAAATATATAATCATGCAAAATTTATATATTAAAAAAAAAAATTTATTGACAAATATCAATTTTTTTTAATAATATCTCTTTTTTTTCACCTTTATTATTATTATTACAAATGATTACCCGACACACAATACAATTATTATGTCGCCAGGGATAGGGGTTAAGAAAGCTGCCGCAGTAAAAATATTCTAAAATTGGTTGATTAGAGAATATCTTTCTATGTTCGTAACAGATGTGTCACGATTTTATCCAAACAATTTATTCAGGACACAAGCCTGTTTTTTGCATGCATTTAATATAATTTTTTTTTCATGAGCTTTGAAAATTGCTCAATAAATGAGCTTCAATTGGACGAAATTGATTTAAATGAATATTGGGCATCAAAAATTGTCCTAGAATATAATACGACATTTTGAAACGTTGATCTAAGCAAGCGACTTATTATACATTGAAAATGATCAATAACGACGAAGGAAAAATCCATAGAGGTGATGATGGTAAAAGAAAATTATTATTATTTGACCCAGAAAATTGGTGTCAACATTTTCCTTTCTAGTTGTTGCGTCCCAATATCTAAACTGAAGTTTTTCCATACTTTAGACAAAGACTTTTCTATATAATTAAGCCTTCGGAAAAATCGAATCGAGTCGGATTTTAAAGCGATTTGATTTGATTCAAATCAAACCAGATTTTTAAATTGATATTATGTTTTAAAAATAAAATGTGTTTATAACTAGAATAAGGCAGATTCGGTCAAGCCTCATTTCAACGACTCTATGTGAAGCAAAAATTGTTGTGATGCGAATTTAATTATATATATATTTAATATAATGAAACGGAAAAAATAATCAATGTTCAACAAATGAATTTAATTTAATAACTTTACCAAAAACGGTCAAATAAAATTCGAAACAAAACCTTTCTTTATTAGATTTAGTCTGTTTTATCCTTTGACCAAATCGAGTAAATTTTTTGTAATATTATTGGAATCAGGGAATACGTTCTACCTGTTAATTAAAACATCTCACTCTCATTATTTTAATATTTTAATATTGAAAAGTTGAATGCATAATAACAATAATAATAAAGGGATAACGGTAGAACAAAGAAAATTATTGTGGAAACATCGTGTGCAATTGGAAGCTTCCAGCCAATAAAATTTGAGAATCAAAAATTAAATTTGATTTTAATTTTCTGCCAATCAAAATTTTATCAAATTTCTGTTTTTAGACATTTTTTTTCAAAATGGAAAATTTATTACTAAAAGGTATTTGATTATTGCTATATAATAATTGCTGATTATAGAAAAGCCTTTCGTCCGTGAATTTTATTAAACTGGTTTTTTTTTTTGGAGGCATAGAAATGTAAAAAATATATCTGCAACATTGAATTTAAATGGGCAATTAAACTGGAGAAAATAAAAAATTCATAAAAATAATTTATTAGTTTATTTATTTCTTGAACTCTCATCAAAACCAATTATGACAGAGCCAAAAAACCATCACCTGACAAGATGTGTTAAAGTATTAGGCAAACAAAATAAATGCAATACACATGCTGTTTGCATTGGCTGCTATGGAAGATTAGTCACAGAAAGACTACATAAACATACTTTTACAAGCAAGAGGCCACAAGCTAAAAATCATTTAAAAGGTCGCGTTTTTCAAATGTCTTTAATTTATCACGTGATTAATCCTGATTGTGCAATAGTATTGATGACGTTCCAACCTCATTCTAGGATCATTACCAAATTTAAACTAGTCTACAAATGTAATTTTAAACCAAATCACGCGAGGTCCCATTTTTTGAAAAAAAAATTTTATTGCTATTTTTGAAATTTGAGCTTGTGGCGCACCAACAGGAGGAGGTCTTTAGACCAAGCCAACCATAATATGTGCTTGAATTAATATTAATGAATTTTAATGCTTCTTCTTCGCTAAATAATTCCCTTACTTCTTCTCCATCATGAATCAAAGTTTGCTCGAAATTAATATTGTATTCGCTACATGGAATTTTTTATATGTAAAAGATATAATAATAAGTTTGGAAATAAACAAACAATGACAAAATTTAACTCAATTTAGTAATTCATCTGGTATAGTTAATTCAATCTGTTGAGAATCTAAAAAAATATTTAACATAAGAGTGGATATTAATAAATCAATAAAAAATGAAAACAATCAAAAGATTAAATGTTAATAATAATTACCATTATTATTACCAATAATTGTCACTTTATTGGAATTCACAGGTTGGGGAAGGCCTGTAAATTCTAATAACCTGCTAGTATAAACAGCATTTGGATGAATTGTTGCAGTAATTGTTGAAGGATCAAATTGTATTTCATCCATTTTATCAAATTCTTCAAATGAACTAAACCAAAAATCAATAATATTTTCAATTTCTCCTGCAGTTGGACGTTTATCTGGATTAGCATCCATGCATCTGAATGCTAGTTCAATATAGAATTTTGGTGTGTTGTTTGAGAATCCAGGTCTTACACCTCCGCATATTTTTATTGCAAGGTCTAAATCATGTGCCAAATTATTAAGTGGTTGTTGGCCAGTTGACACTACAGACATAAGAACTCCAAAACTATAAATATCTGATGCTTTTGTATATGGTTTCTTTTTTAAAACTTCTGGCGCAACATATGGTAGCACTCCAAATGTATTATTTTCGTTTGATGCAGATGTTTGACCAGTTGGGCATGATAATCCCAAGTCTGTAATATATGAATATGTTTTTTTTTTTAATTGAAGAATATTACCACTATGAAGATCATGGTGAACAATTTCTTCTTCATGAATATCTTTTAAACCTTTAATAATTTGTTTAAGAATTTTAATTTTGTCTTTCCATTTTAGATTTTTAAAATCTTTTGTTAAATAATTTTGAAGACTTCCATCTTCTATATAATCCATTATAATTATATATTCTTTTGTAGTTGGATCTTGTGTTAATCCATAAATACGAATTATATCATCTTTATAATAAAACCTTGTATAATTTTTGAACTAAAATAACAATAAATATTTAATTACAACAATAATAGTCAATAAGATTTTAATTAATATTAATAAAATAATTTACCTCATTAAGAAATTCATTAGAAATATTCTGTGAATTATGCAATTTTTTTAATACCACAACCCTATCTTCACTAATTCTTTTGTTATTAACATAATTTACACATTTCTCACCATTTAACCAAGTAGCTTTGTATATAGTTGCAAAACCACCTTCACCTATCTTTTCAATATTCGTTAGATCGTTATAAGGAACCCATTGAAGATAATATTCATTATTATAGTCTGTTGCTTTAAGTTGTGTACTTTTAACCAACTCATCTATCATTTTATTACCACTGGTCCATCCTTCAGTTAATAGCTTTGGGTCACATGTTTGACACCATGAATGCCAAGTATTATATCTATAACAAGTTGAACATTCCCCATAAATTTTTTGTCTTTTTTTTGAATGTTCATCATCATAATACATATTGGTGAAAAAATTCTTTATCCATTTTTTGCTCTCATTTAAAGTGTTATTCATTTTTAAAAATTATGTCGATAAAATTAAAAATTTTATTTTTAGCCACAATTGAACACAAAATAATAATATATTTAGCTTTTTTGTCCAACAAATAGAATGTCTAATTTTTTAACAGGCAATATATCCTATAACATAACTGGTGAAGATATTAGATCCTGTTTGCTTAATATTAATAAAAAAAATGGAAATCGTTGTTTTTGCCGGAGACAGTCCCATATCTGTAATGCCATAATTAGTTTTTCATAGTTGCCATGATTAACTTTAATAGTTGTCAAAATTATCTCTATATCTATAATTACTTGAACTCCAAATCAAATGGCATATTATTTGTTAGAAATCGAAAAGGAAAAAAGACCATAGCGAGTATTGAGTATTGTTAGGGGGAGGGGGGTGGGGGAGAGAGGAATTTGAATGTTTTTCTGGTTTTATTAAAAATATTACTCAGGCTGGACTTTCTTTGCATTTGCTTGATGCGTCTTCTTCAATATTAACAATTGATAATGTAAAGTAAATGCGAAAAATTCAATTGCTGTAAAACTGATATTATCAAATTTTCAGGGCAAAGTATTAAGATTGGATAACAACACGATTTAAGAGTTAAGCAAAATTTACAATATCAATTAGAAACTTATTGGAAGAAAACATTGTTATATTGCGGCATTATATTTATACCTATATAAATTTTATCACTTTGTGAACTAACATCCATGTCATTTAAAAAAATTTACTGCTGCACACAAACAAACGTTCATTATTATTATTATTATTATTAACATATCAGTCATTGATATACAAGACTACTAATCAAAACCTCTACCGGCTGGGACAGCACCATTAGTAATAAATACTTAAGCTTAGAGGACAGTGATTGAAGATAATACACGAAAACAAAAATGTATACTATAACATTTATATTAATTATTTTTTTGTGAATATAAGCAATAATATAATAATAGTAGTAATAATAAACAAGAAATTTATTTTCATTAATAATAATATTATTAATGAAAATAGAAAAAATAATCAATAATGTATTCCTGGAGAAGCGGTGTTAAAAACAAACAATCTAAGCCCATTCACTTGATGTTGGAGCCAACCGATTAAGTGTTGGCTTTGAACCACCCGATGAGGACCATTAAATATCCATACATAATTCGAATTTGCCTAATATCTGCTACCACATAGGTCGGGTCCACCAATCCACGAATGTTATCGTATTTCCAAGTATGAATCGAAGTCAGGGGAAATCGTGTGAAACGCACAAGCTCCTTCGTAATTTTCTCCCGTTCCATCAATGAAAGGTCGTCCAGCAAGAAGTTTGACTATCGGCATAGCATCATCGTCATTCCAATGCTTATGAGATTTACTTGAGAGCTTAT